TGTACTTGAAAATACTATATTTTGGACACACATACTTCAAGAGGGACATGACATCACAATATTTGGACATCTAAGGCGAGAAAAGACTCTAAAATGGATCTTAAGGAAATAATTTTGGATAGTTTTAAATTATGATATTTGAGCTTTTATATGCTCTTGCAAGTAATATCAACAAAATAAAGCATACAATACATCATCTTCTAGACTATTGCATCTAATTCTATTATTTATAGTACATTGAGAGTATGTGATTATGCATCTCATTATATATTTACCTTAGATGCTTCATAATCACATTGCAATTGTCTTCTTTATGAATTAACTTTCAAAGCAATTTCACTTGGCCGCGATGCATTCAGATATTAATGCTTCAATATTTGTACGGATCTTCTTTGATATTATCTTTCTTTAATATGGATCACCTTGTATTATTGTTAAAGATTGGAATCCATGCTTCACAAGAAGTTTTTAACAAGCCTTGTTTAAACTACTAGGTACATGACTTCCTATATTTATAGTCTTCTATCTCCAAACAGATGGACAAATAGAGCATGCAAATCAGACCTTGAAAGATATGTTGAGGGCATTTGTGATAGTTCATCATAATGATTACAATAAATACTTGATGTCCTTAGAGTTTACTTATAATGATAGTATTCAAGCAAGTACTAGTTATTTATCATTTTTTCTGAATACCAATTAATATTTGCTTATGCTAGCAATTGTCCATTATCTAATCGATACCAATAATTCAATAATATAAGAATTTATACAATGGCTTATAATGACCTTGCAAGAAGCATAGCACCAACTCCTTACCATACAAAATCAACAAAAGTAATATGTAGATAACCATCGATTGTACAAGACCTTCCAGAAGAATGATTAGGTATTACTTTCCAACACCAACTTGCCACTTGCTACATCAACCAAAATCCATAAATTTGCACTTTGGTGGCTTAGATCATTTTGCATTTCTATAGTGATTTTTGATGTCATATACCTCCTCAAGCTTCTACCACATATTTGGGTCTATCCATTCTTTCATCTTTTGTAACTGAAAGAATTTCATACTAAGCTAAAGCACTTTTCGGATCTATACCAACTACCACCACTATCAATTGTACTTGATGACTAACAAGAATATGAAGTGGACAACATTTTGGAGTATCACTACCTTTGCCATAGTAGTAGACATTTACAACTTCAGTACAAAATTCTTTGGAAAGGTTATTCTATCCATGATGCAATGTAAGAACCTACACATAACCTCATCCATTACCAAGAGATAATTTGGAGATACTATCAGGAGCAAAATAAAGACGTTCCGCATTAGAAGAGGTAGATTGATTGTAACATGGTATAGATAAGATATTTGTATTGTTGACATATAAAGATAAATAGTTAGAATCATGTTTGAAAAGTTATAGAAGTTTTTAGAATTGAGGATAGATTAGTCGACTATATAAGATTCATTGTGGAATATTCTAGAAAGAATTTAAGACAGTTATTTAGATAAGGCCTATCATAGAATCTTCTAAAAAGAATTTAAGACAATTACCTAAGTAGGATCCATCATCTAGGAATATTCTAGAAAGTTTAGGATGGTAGAATAAAGTATAAATAGGAATAGCTAGGGTTTTTTGGGCATCTAGTCAAGTATAGCTTCAAACCTTCTCTCTTAGTAAAATTTGGATTTTTATCTTCATATTTAATTCTATTTTAAATTATTTTTATTTATGCAATTTTATCTTTTGTGTTCTATTCTATTTAGTTCTATTGAGTTTTGTTCTAGTCTATTTTGTTCTACATTGTGATGAGGTTTTATGGTGCTCTAGATTAAAAGAGTCTTAAACTCTCAAGATAGAGTGGTCATATTTTACAAAAAGAATAAAGATTCTTAAAATTAAACTAAGAACAAGATAAGCATTGACAAGAGTGAAGAAGGCTTCATTCTTGTCTCTATATATACTATCTAACTAGGAGGTATATGGTGAGATTTTATAGAACCTCTACTACTTGTCCAAATTACAAGACACATGTCTTAATTTGTAAGGCAAATTTTCTATATATATGCCACATACTTAGCTTATTCTACAAGCTATCAATATATGTGACATGTAGTTAATTTGTTGACCAAGTTTTTAATCTATCGATCAACTATAAATATGTGTAAAATCAAAGCGACATCTATAAAGCTTCTAAGAAGCTTCTTTAAAAGATATTATAAAATTAATCTATTATTGTCTATATCTACCTAATTGTATAAGTAATTGTTAGAATATATATATATATATATATATATATATATATATATATTTATGACAATAGGTGAAGAAAAATATAATTGCTATGCCATCTAGACTAAGAGCCTTATTTAATGTGATGGATTTTACTATCTCGTACAATTTTTGTTTTGTGATTGGTCTTACCAATTGCTAGGCCATGAAATCTAAGGTACAATAGGATATTACAAAATTACATTTTTCCTTTGTTATATTTCTTTGAACTCCATTGCTATTAGTATTGAAGATATTGTAATAATAATAAAAGCACTCTTCTTTGATTTCATGGTAATTAATGATTGATCTTTCATAATACATGATTAATTCTATAATTATGTATATTACTGATTTATTACTCATAGCTTTGAAAAAATTTGCATGACATGCTATCTTTGCATGTCCTTTATTTGATTTGAATTCAAACATGTCTCCTCTTAAGTTTTCGTGATTTGAAATTAGTGAAATTTTTGCTATAGAATTCTAGATTGTTTTGTTGCTTGGAATCTTTAAGGCAAATGTGTTGTTCTTGTTGGACTATAACTAGTCTAGTTTGAGATGTCTTTTCTATGCAATGGTGCTCATCAACAATTTTTTTGTAGTACAATTTGTAGAATCTAATAAATTTTCAAAGTCTAGAGAAGAATGTTGAATTTTCCACACTTTGCTCAAATCTAATCAGCTAAACAATCTCTTGAACTTCTTTGTCAACAAAGAACTATGAATTCATCTTATAGTTTGAGATACAAGGACCTTACTCTAGTAGGTGGTTAGAAATTGATGAATTTCCACAGATTTTATATCACTAAGTTGTATTGCCTAAATTGCCATGGGATATGTCAAAGACATAGAATTGGTCTAGTCTACCTAGCATCTTTGCCCCATCACTCTACTTATTATCTTATAAGAAGAAGATTATGCTAATGTATGAAAATTTGTCTACAAGAAGGAAGTTGCTTTTAAATTGTTTCAAAGATATTTTCTCCTCTATGTTATGAAACAACTGGAATTTGATGATTTATTATGTCGTCGTTCCATCGTATTGAAATCATTGCTAACCACCCAATTGTAATCCATTAGGAGCAAGAATTTAAGGTCTTGCCAAAGCATGCTACTGTCCTTGGCATTTTTAAAAGTATAGAGATTTAGCAACCTAAGATTCTTACCAAAGATGCTGATCAAGTGGATCTAGTGAGCGTAGTTTGAGATTACTCCTTGGCTCTTAATTAGGGAAGCTAGCGTCCCTTTGAGGAGGATGTTTAGGCCTCGTTTACCGGCTTCTTCCATGCCGTCTGTATTGTAGCCTACCTCCACTTCGACTATCCAGTAATGAGACTACTTTTCGATATCTTAAAAGACAATTTGTCTCTTAAAGGTATAGAAAAATTCAGAGATAATCGATCTTGATAATACTCTATTTTTTAATTTTAAAAAAAACAAAAAAACAAAAAAACAAAAAAACAAAAACTGAACACCTATCTAGTCAAACCTGAAGCTAAAGGCTTCAGTGCCTTGTGTATCTCATAAAATCCTGAGGCTTTTATAGTCATCTGAAGGCTTAATTGCATTGATTGTTCCACAGTGCTTTGACAAAAAGCTTTGTAAAATCTTGTTGCCTAATGTTGGCAGTTTCCAAAGCATCATAAGTGCCGAACGTGTGTTGGTGTGGCCGCATGCAACCTCTCGAATCCAAAATAGATCAGAGAGAAATCCTGATTAAAAAAGCGAAGAAGGGGATTTCTAATTCTAGAATTGTAGTGAACATACGAGTTCTAGCCCAATAATAGACACTCACACATGCTGCAGAATCTGCATTCTCATCATCACCTGGAGTTGCTGCGATGGTGTGACATTCGTGTTGTTGGTGAGTTGTGGAAAAAAAAGAAAAATTGTCTCACTTTGTGAATCCACCAGAACCAGTAGTAGATCCACACATAGCCAGTTAAGCAAAAACAACCCATTGTAAATTAAAGTGAGGAAACGGGAGGATATTAACTAACTGTTCTCACCAGGAATCTAGTGCTTGCTTCACCCTAGGATTTAGGATTGGGATTCAGCTACTATCCGGCTGAGAATATTTCGGTTGGGAGGTGAGTCTGCATACTATACACGGACAGCCGGTGTTTTAGGGGGTGTGTGCCACAGTAGACTATGTAGTGCAGGAGTAGCGAATGACATGCTACCTTGCTTGCGGCCTTTTGGGGTGTGTGTGGAAAGCTTCGGGAGCATTTGAAGCACTGCGGGAGATTAGAGTCACGGAGAGGTCAGTTAGCTGCATCCAGGTCAGCCTAGACATTTTCTTCTGCGGGGATTAAGTTCGTTCTTCCATCAATGACACCTCTCCTGAACTTATCACACGATCGATCCGTTATAGACCCCTCTTACGTTTTTTTTCTAGCAGGATCGAATGAAGAACGCCCATTGCAGGTATCTCTGGACTGGGTCTTTTATACCTTCACTGTGATTGAACTTCCAAATCCGTCGAGTTTGCCTGGACAATCTAACGATGTTACCAGAAGAAGTGAAATTGTATGTTGGTTTTTCTAACATTAGACGAACCCACAAATGACAATCACCTACCGAAGTAGGTGAACTAGTACCATCATTTCGCAGAGAACTCAAAACTGTTGAAATCACAGCGAATCAGAAGGATATGATGGGCAGTCCACCTTCATTATTAACGACTCACAGACGTCACGATCAATAGAAATGGTCGAATGAGATGAAGTTGAATGCAAAACCCGCATGATCCAGCACCTGTGTAAATTGTGTAGTAGAGCCACATCTTGTGACGTATCAAAGTACAGGGAGAAGTATACACAGTTGATCAATGAAGCTGGTGGCAAGTGAAAGCAGGAGACCGCTAACTATAATCTGAGATCACCTGACCAAAAAGGGATAATCCAACATGGCCCTTTCTACTTCCTAGGACTCTTCAGTTAGTTAAACCAAAGCCGTGTGTTGGGGAGACCTAAAACTGCAGAGCACAGAACTAAGACTTGAAAATTTCCTAAATTGATGACAGTGAGCCTACTCTTCAACTTTTCGTTTCTTCTTTTTTTCTTTCTTCTCCGCAACTGGGGTCACCGGGGCAGCTTCCACCGCCTCTTCAGTGCGCTTGTGCTTTTTAGACTTCTTGCCTTCCGTCGATGGGGAAATAGCATCTGCAGCCTGTACAGCATCCTTCGCGTTCTGCTTCTTAGATTTCTTTTCCTTAACTGGAGTAGTCGCTGTGGCAACGATTGCTTCTTCACCAGAGCTCTTCTTTTTCTTTTTTTTCTCCTTCACAGCTGATGCAATTGCAGCAGCTTCTTCCTCCGCATCTGATGACTTGCCATTTACTTCTGAGTTTCCGTTAGCACTAGAATGCTTCTTCTTCTTTTTCTTCTTATCTTTCTTGTCACCAACTGACAAAACACTCAGAATACATGCAACTATCAAAATTTAAGAAGACATGCCCACGCATGCCAAATTAACTCGGCAGAAGTGATCCACGAGCACCCAAGAAAACCAATGTAGGAGAAAATAGAACAGACAAAGAAGTCCTCAGTTTGGCCGAGAATTCCACACGAGTAGATCCTCAAGCACACTCTCTGCGAAACCTAAGAGCAATAAAAACACAGACGAGTCTGCCTCAAAGGAGGTCACCCTGATTTACAGGGTAGCACTGACTCAAAAGTGTAACAAGCCTCAGATATACACTAAGAGGACTTGAGACCATTTTACTTCAGAGTGGTTAAGCATCTCATCATCGGACTCATCATCAAATGAGCACAATCCCTAAACGAACTTCACGACACCAATATGCCCAGACAGAATTCGTACTGAAAGCCTTTATAATGGCGCACAAATACTTCTGTTCCAAACTATCTTACCCTCGCGTGGCCCTGGTACAGCGTCAGTCATGTCTGTCTCGTCAGCCCTAGCCTCATCACGATTGCCGTTCTCCTCCGCATTCTTGATGGCGTCTTTCATAACATCAATATTCTTCCTTGGTGCGATACCCTTGTCGTAGAACTCGAGACGCTCCTCAACCTGCTCTCGCAATTTCTCCCCAAAAGCGCTTGTATTGACCTCTGCAGTGATTGATGGTACGTTATACCTCAGAGACGCGTCAGAATTCCTGAGCGGAACATGTAAAATCCTCACTCAGGCTCATGGGCACACATTTACATCTACAACACAGGAGTAAAAATGCCTTAGAAAGAGCAATCAATTCGTGAAGCAATTGAACATTTATTCGCAAGATAACGCGAGATACGTCCCTTGTTCTTGGTACTTGCCCTCCCAATGAAAGATGAGTGGAAAATCAGACCGTACTTGGGTGTGTTTCCTTTCGTCTTAAGCGCCCTGTAGAAATTGCAGGGTCACAGAAGATCAGCTAATGACCTCAAGGAGAACACTCGCAAGACGGCCTCAGCCGCCGAAATTTAAGTGCGTCACAGAGACTGAACAGCTACATCTGAGTAGGCTACGGCTCTAACCACTCCATAAGTACCTGAACAATGCTTTTTCAGCACCCAAGATCTGCACCGTTGAAGCAGGATACTTCGCTAGGTTTGTAAGACTTCCAGCATGTGAAATGAGGCGAGCTCCAACCATCTCTCCAATCAATACAGCAAGGTTTGGGGCAACGTCTTGCATCTTAGACACCAAATAAGAATGCAACTGCTTGCGATATTCCACAAGAGATATCACTCTTGATGCAAACATTTCGATATTGATCAAATCAATAGGTGATATGTCCTGACCTGATGATATCAAGTCCCCAAAGCGAATCAGTAAAAATCCGAGCCCACTGAGAGCAACGATCAATATTATGGTACGGTACTTGCAAGAAGACGTGACGTAGTACACTTGACAGGAAATATACATATCTAGTAGTGCTTAACTCGATGAATTCGTACCCATGGATGCTTTCGCAGCTTCAATAACTTCACGGGCCTTATCTTCATCTCCAATGACCTCGGTGATTTCTTCCAAACTTGAGTCAGTGAGGCTCGATTTGTCCTTCACAAACTTAACTAGCTTGGCATATGTGTAGTTGTCATTCACAATCTTCACCAGCTCGGGGAAATGCCAAGAGTACCACTCCCTGCACGATATGTTGCAAACATAATTTAGCACACTACAATCCGAGATACGTATCACACAGACCATGCTTACAAATCTCTCAGCCTCTGCTGGGATATCAAATATAATCACACAAAAGCGAAGTAAGAAGGGGGGGTAAACGAAACTCACCGGACCCGCATGCAGAACGTGTTGACGTCCTTGTCAAGGGTATCCAACAAGCTGATGCTTTGAATGATCATGTTATCTACTCGGTTAACATTGAACTTAACTTTACTGCGACTGTAACTGTGAGCAAGACCGAGTTGCGCCTTCTCAATATCTCCCTCCTACATAACCAAACACCATCTTAGGTATACTAAATGTGAAAGTCAATTGCACACCAACATACAAAAAGCACGTAGATATTTGTGAAAAGCGGCAATTCAATAAATACCATATGCCCACATTCCCCTCATAAATATCCCTCAGATTCTGGTTAGGAAAGATTATAAGGCGACAACGGATGTCGAATCTAATGCAAATGCAACAGTTCTGCACGTATGTTAATCAATAAAATTAGTCGCGAAAACATACCTTTAGATCCTTGATGAAACGACTGAAATGAAACCGAATTCCCCTAAGGAACTCATTTACGTAGTCGTTGCTCTGACAAGGGATGTGCGTAGACTCTAGAATAGCCGACCCAAGCTTCGGCTCAGCAACTCCAAGATTCACCTTCGGCTTCTTCCCGGACTTAACCTTGGGCAAGTTCAACTCCAGAAAATTCTTTAACTCTGCAGTCATGATTCCTGTGGCGACCAAGAAAACATACTTGATTTACTGTCTTGCAGGTCGCATAGCAACCAAGGTTTAAAACCAAGTCCACACAGGCAGGGCAGGTTCAAAATCAACCCAGAACGTACTCACCTTCAGTCACAGAATTGCATTGATCCAGAGCATCGGCGGCCGACGTGAACGGACTAAAAGCCAACAGCTTCACCACCTTCCCAAACCGATTCAGGTCCGTGATGGATTCCTGAATCGCTTCCGCATTTTGCCCGATTTCGTCCAGTCCCATCGTCTCAAACAGTGCATACCCGGAGGCAGACTCATACAGAAGATACAGCGTCTGCTCAATTCAACAACCGACCTTCCGTTAGATCGAAATTCTCTCATTCCCAAATTACCCTCATACTCATAAACCCTTTACCCCTGAAAACGTCAATTCCCACGAAAAAACCCCTGAAAATTTAGGCCCACCATCGCAAAACGGTGCTGAATTCAGAAAGGAAACGCTCGGTGGCGACAATGTCAGCAACAAGGCAGTGATTGCCGAGCTCTCGCTCGTACAGGGATGATTCTCGGGGCACCAAATTTGTCTTAGAGAACAAAAAATACACTCTCCTTCTGCAGCTAAACCCCGAAATCCTAATTCTGATACTAGGTCCCGGACGGCGATATTCATCCATGATTGTGATTGTTCATTCATTCATTTATTCCGCTTTTCTGTCCATTGGCGAAGGGCTTTGCTACTATTTTGGGATATGGGAATCTATTTGACAGAATGTGGGAATATTAGGGTTTCAAAATTTAGGGTTTCGTAGAAATGAAGAGAGAAGAAACTAGAGGGGGAAATAGGGACAAATGTAAAAAAAAAATATTAAAAAGTGGACAAGGTTTGCCCAATAATTAGTCTTGTGCTAGTGTAAGTTGTTGATTGGCAAAGACCATTTCAAAGTACTTTGTTGCTCTTTAATTGAAGCATGCAATTCAATCTATTTTCGTTTATGATGTGTGTATACACTATTGATAACATGATAACATGACAACATGATAAACATGGACTTGTGTACACAATGCTATTGAATGTGGTTATTGAAAAAAACTTGAGTTTGAGGTTAATTACTATGGTTTGTAATAAAATTCTAAGTATTCAAAATGTTGTTTGGGATTATATTAAACTTCATCCATTATTTGTATTTATGTTTTTTCATAGTTTTTTTCTTTTATTTTGGTTGAGGTAAATAATTTAGATAATTTTTCTTCTAATACTTTATTTTGATATATATATTATTATATTAGATTTTTTTAGTATTACAATGAATTGAAATTGTTATTAAATAGTACTTGTAACATGTAGCCAATGCAATCAACTAAATTAATGCACAATCTAACAAGAAAAATATTTACTTATAAATTGCTTCTAAAAATGAAGATAATTTAAGAAACAAAATTCTACAAAAATTCAAATTTTTTATAGATTTTATATTATTTTTTATAAATTTATTATAATTTCGAAAAATATACAACTTCAAAAACATTTATAAAAGTAAATGGAACATCAACAATTAAAATTAATACTTAATTTATGAATATCTATCCAACTTGAGAAAAAGTAAAAACCTTAATATTTTTTTTCTTTTTTAGATATTTTTTAAAAAATAAAAAAATAAAAAATACTTACATTTATTATATATAATAATAGTAATAATAACTGCAAATAGTTCTATTTACAAACTACATACATAGTTATGTAAAGATTTTAGCCTCCATGCAAACAATGTTTCTATTCAAATTGTGCTTATTTTTAAAAAAATATGATTTCAGAAAATAATATTTACAAATATTTTGCAATAAAATATTTTATTTCAAAATAAAATTCAGAAACACCAAAAACAAATTACACTATGAAAAAGTTTGTAGGAGACAATTAACATTGATGAAAGCAAAACCTTGTATTTATTTTATTGAAGATGATTTACAAAGACAATTTTTATTTTTATTTTTATTTTGTATTTCTCAAAAAAAATCTAAATATATAAAATAAAAACGTGAACACAAATAAGTTCTAGATATCATTAATCGATATATGCTGAAAATTCTAATAAAAAAAGAATACATAATTTGAAATCAAAGCAATATTTTATATGTGCAAAACACTTAAAACATATTATACTTAACTTTTGAGCTTTGCATTGTATGAAGGTGTAAAAGCATCAATGAATAGGTATGTATGTACGTATATATACATATATATTTATATATTATGCATGTTAGCTGAAAAGGTTGACTGTTTAAAAATAAATAAACCATGCATGATATTTTTTTGATCTTGTTATTGGTTATTAAAATTGTCAAAGAATAGAAAATTTATTTATGTGCTTTTTGGCATACAATAAGAACCCAACATTAGTTCTTAAATTATTAAGATACACAATGTAGAAATAGGATATATTCAAAGATTATATAGATATATATATATAGATATATATATATATATATATATACACACACACACACATATATGGGATTAATTACTACATACATAATTTTTTTATTGATTTTCTAATTTTATTTATAATATTATAAGAATATTTATTTTTTGAATCCTTGGAAGTCATCATTTTTTTACACATCTTTATTTTATTTTATTTTTAAACACTTAAATCCAAAATTCAATCAAAAAGAAATTAAACCACATATCTAGGCTTTTTCTTCTACACACTCTATCTTTGCTTTATATTTTTTCTCTTCAAATTCATCTTTTCATACCATTAATACATGACCATAAACACTTGCATACGTTTACAAGGGCCATAAAAATCATGTAATGATTAAAATTAAAGAAGACTTTATACTTAGAAAATAAGGTGAGAGACCACAACTTTTAAATCTCTTTAGCAGTAGAAATTTAAAAGCCTTGAGAATATTCCAAAGATACTAAGAAAGATGATATAGAATGAATAATTTCTTCTACATAGCATGAATAGTGATGTCTTCTAGAGTTCCCATTTGAGCCCAACTCAAAATGTGGTTTTTAGAAATATTTAAAAAATCATTTCAATAATTACTTAAAATAACCATTTAAAAATAAAATATCAAACATCTTATATTTCTTATAATTATTTGAAAAAAGATTCGTGTTCACATTTTTAAAGACACTTTATACATGGGAAATAAAGTAAGTAGCATTGTTTTTTAAAATTTTAATTGAATCTATCTCAAAAAAAATGGTTTCTAAAAACATTTAAAAAGTCATATAAAAAAATACTTAAAGTGACCATTATGAATCATTGAATAAATGTTTTTAGACTCCTTGTAATTTTTAAATTAAAAATTAAGCCAACACATTCAAACTTGTAACAAGAAAATGATTTGATCCATTTCACAGCCTCTTCTCATTTTACACTATATCCAAAGGTAAAGACTTCTAAAGAAGAATTGTTCTTCACCAAGCAAAGAACTTTAGTAAGAACTTTGAACCATGACTTTTCATAGTGGACTTCTAGATTTTAAAAAAATCCCTCAAAACAAATAAAACAAGAAGCAAAAGAACAAAAGAGCAACCAAAATCCTCACACATGTTGTTGGCTTTCTACCAACAATTCATTGCCCTGAACATCATTAATTGCTCTTTAGAACAGTTTCCACAGGTTGAGCAGGATCGTGTTGAAGCTCATTTGCGTTCTGTAGTTATTTGTAAATGAGTCTGCAGACAACCTGATTTTTGGTGCATTGCTTGCGCTTGCACACGTGGGACCCTCAACTAACAAATTGTCAGGGGAATTCGCACAATTGTTTGCAAAAAACATTAATATCTTCATCACAGCTTAGCAAAACATACAACCTGTGATGATATCAGCGTCTGAATTCAATGAGACCCAAACTGTGTGTGTCTGGAGAAATGTATTCTTCAGTGCAGGTTGAAATCGAACAAGTTTGTGCATGTGTCAGATCTCAGAAGCTTTGCTTTAACGACTGCCTTGGCCTGCTTCACTCTTGTCTGCTTTAATCCAAGAGCAGCTACATTTACTGCAGCGCGTACAGATTTTTGGAGACGGTTTGTGCTACATCGGGACATAAGTATCGTGAAGCATACATTGCTGTTGTTTTAATTCATCCATGCCGAACAGTGCAGCAGAGCAGGACCGATCCACCCCTGCTGTGAAGAAATTACAGAATTCATAATCCCCGCATGTCATATTTATAAATCTCGGTGATGCAGTTTCTCTCCGACACAACTCTGATCACTCTTTTCAGGCTGGTACCACCAATTGGCTGATGCAAAAACAAGGCACTACGTGACATAGCATCCAGCAAGCTTGACATGAGAAAAAAAACAACAAACAAAAAACAAAAAACACCAGTTCTGGAGATTAAAAAATGAAAAATGAAACGAAAAAGTAAGTGCTCATTGCAGTCTAATCTTTCTTCTTCGTTCACAACCGAGAAATGTCACGCTGAGTGTGGAAACTCAGAAGCAGCTTTTGCACACAAATCACAAGTGCGGTAGGAATTCAGGCATTATTATTATTATTGCAGATTCTACCTCACCCTTGGTCAGTGAAAGCATTCCTCAAGGTTGAAAGAACAGTGGCAACACTGCACAATGTGAATATCAGCATCCAAAATGAAAGCAGATGTTTGGGCTTGGGACAGCCCCCCAGACACACACAATCTGACAGACTCCATTTTGTGTGGGTTTCTTCAAAGAGTCACACAACTGCAGATTTTATTTATATATATATATATATATATAAGCATAAATTTATTTATTTTAAACAAAGATTTAAAATTAAAACTTAAATTTAATTTAAGAAATATGCTGAATCAAAACCATTAACTTTAAAAAAGCATTCCGTTCATAATTATAAACAATTTTAATGTTTTGAAAGTTGCTCATGAAATGTAGATTGTAATTGTGAAATTGAAATGCTAGAATGTAAGAGATATAGAGTTCAATTAGTTTTACTAATTTTTTAAAATATTATTGATAATTCAATATAAATGATGTCTATAGATAAATTTATTTTAAGCTCAACGGATTATTGATGATTTTATTTATTTGTCTTTTAGGGCTAAATTTTTCTACACAAGTTTGTATTAAGAATAAAAAACTACTTGTATTTGATAATCTTTCCACCAATATTGTAGGAAAAATTATTAAATATATATAATGATGCAAAACAAGAAATATCAAGATAATAGTGATAGAAATTTTGAAGCAATTTCAATACTAACATTTTTCTAATCTTGTATCTTGGCCTACTATTTTTGAGTATTTGAAAATTTAATGAGTTTTATTATTTTTAGTATTTATACATGTATATTTTGTAAATAATTTATTTTTTGCTTACTTATAAAATACCATTACAACATAAGAGCTTTGACTTAATATTTTGAATTGATGTCATATATTACATTCGATTCTTTTAGAAAAAAAAAAAAAAAAAAAAAAAAAAAAAAATTAAGAATATCATTTTCTCATAAAAATTAAGGATCATTATTTGTGATAAAAAAAATATTCTTGAATAATTTGCTTAAAAATTCGAAGATTTCTAATATTTGGAATTATTGGATTATTTTTAAAGAAATACTTTTTATTTTCTAAACTATGAAGCTTAACTTTACTTTCTT